TGACCCTCAAGAGGTGTATTTGTCCCAAGAAAATTTTCTTTACCTCTAAGGTAAAAATATCAATGCTTATTCTATCTACAATTAGGTAATAACATAGGGTGTCTATCCACAATTAAACATTTTTCTTAATTTATTAGTTGGATAGTGTTTTAAATTTAAACCTTTTGTGCTATCGCTCAATTATAGATAGACCTCCTGCAATTATATTGTTCAAATGCAACGTTTTATTGTTCAGATTGACCCCTTGAATATTTTTTTTAACTCTTAAACCATCAGAGAAAGAGAAAATTGTTCTCTTTGACAAATAGAGCTCCTAAAGATCAAAGAATTTTCACTCAGTGGGTCTATCTACAGCAATGGAACTAGTAAGGAGTCCTCCTGCAATTCAGTGATCGTACAAGAATCTATACACAATCAAACCGCTTTTTAATATTCTTCTAGAACTGGACCCCTTTTAGTTCACATAGGTCGTGATAACAATTCACAAGGGATATCCTACACGTATTACTCTTTAATTTATGATTTCTTCTTAACAATTTTGTTGAAATTCCTTTTTCCACGCTTTTATAATATTATTTTGTGTTAGATGCCATTCTTTTCAAAAATATAAAGATAATGCAGGTTAAGTTGTAATAACTGATCTAGGCGAGAAAATTTGCATATGTTTGTCAACATTATGCATACTGATATTCTTTTGTGGTCTGAATTATGTTATAGCCCTAAAAGATGAGACAAGTAGAGCACATAAACACCCACCACTACCAGTGACACCAGAAAACTCCAACAACAAAAAAGAGAGGCGTTGAGGGCATTGACATACTTTTCCAAGTACTATTGTGATTGGAAACGTCACTAGCCATTGGCCAGCTCACATCAAAACCAAGAGGATCCTCAATTGATATTTTCGGGGTTAATTTCACTAAAACCCCTGAACTTTTTAGGGTTTCTCCCAATCCCTAAATTTCTTTTTCTCACAATTAAATCCCCAAACTTGAGGATATCTCGTAAAGTCCATCTCAACATTGAACTTTTCTCACCAGAACCTATATGTGTAATTGACAAATAACTAAAATATTGTGAGGGGAAAAAGTTCTCTAGTTTAGTCATATACCATTTGCATGTAACCTAAAACCACGAACGTTTTCTTTTGGTGGGGTTCTTTTTTTTTTTTTTTTTTTGGGGGGGTTTTGTGGGGTTTTTTTTTTTTTTTTTTTTTTGGTGGGGTTGGGTTGGGTTGGGTTGGGTTGTGGGACACCCTGATGTTCAGGGGGTTATGGAGCTAGCGAGACCAAATGTTCAGAGTGTATTTCTACAAAACTCCCAAATTGAGGGAGGCTTTATCAGCTTAACCCTTTTTCTCTAGCAGTTGTTCTATTGAAAACAACAGATATTCTTTTGTTGGGCATTGAGAAAGTAAGCTACAAAGAAAAAACAGGTGATTGAATTAAAAGGACTCCTGTGGCTTGGAGCTAAAGGCATTGAGAAGTTCTTTCACAAGGGAGTTCTGCCTATTTATGGCCTTTACATTATGGTCCTACAATTGGCAATGAATCAATGGAGGACTATTAAAGACAAAACTACACTACTAGAAAAACTACTAATGGCTTCTCTAGCTTTTCAGAAAAGTAATTGAGATATAGTATAGAATTTCTAGTCTAGTGCTTGTGATTACAGTTAATTAGGTTATTTGGACACTACTTACTCCCTTAATTCTTGTTTGTTATGCTCTACTAGTATTTTAAACAAAAAGAATTAATAAGGTTCTTGTCAATAGAATCATCATTCTACTGTTTCAGTTGATGGTTGGTGTTGAAAGGAGGCCAAGGATTCATTCGAATAATTATGAAAATGGTTACCCTTTTAGGACCTTGACTCCTTTTGACTAACTTGTTGGAGTGAATCCGAAAATAATAATTGAGCTAATAAATCTTCTCCCCCTTCTCCCCTCCCCTTTACAGAATATTAATACTACGAAAAGCGGAGAAGATGAGAAGGAAAGAAAAATATAATAAGGAAAAACAAAGCTAAGTTACATAATATTAACATGATTTGTTTCTTAAATATTTCATTAAACTGTTATACATTGAAAATTATAATAATTTGCCATGAACATTTTAATTTTCCATAGGTCTTCCGCAAATACAACAAGGAAAAATTACCTACAAATTTGTCTAGCAACTGTCACATACAAGTCATATGACGTGTTTATTAACAATCAGATAATGGAACATAGTTTATTGAGAATTACTGATAAGATTTATGGTAATTTCAGGGATTTGAAAGCCTAGGCTAATACAAACTGTCTCATTGTGATATTTCACCATACAACCACTAGTAAATATTTTTCAACTAAACTAACTTGAGATTTCAACCTCAGAACAAGCATTACATCTGTGTTTATGTTAATATGTGTCTTTTAAGCAAGAATACAGTATGCATGTAAGTAGAAAAATACTAAATGTACTACTTTGACACTACTACTCACAAAGGAGTGGGACCTCACTTCAAAATTGTAATGATGACTCATCTGTTGGGATTATGTCTTTGATTCTTTGTAGAACTTCATGACAATTAGATAGGGTTAGAGATCTATCATAATTAGAAGTCTGAGCTCTATTATGATTAGGAGTTTGGGCTCCATCATGATTAGGAGTTTGAATCCTATTATAATTAGGAAGTTAGGCTAGAGATAGGGTTTTAGTTTCCCTATATATATTCTTCTATTGTTTGAGAAAAAATAAAGAAAAAGAGAGTAGAGAGAAGATGTAGTAGAAAGAGGGAGTCAATGTTCTTGTAATCTAGGGTTAGCAGAAGGCGTAGCCTGATTTAAGAATATTGTGCGAGAGGTGAGGGTTTCATGATATTTATCCGTGCAAAAGTTTACAAGGAGTGAGTTTTGGAGAGAATATGAGAGTTGATTATGTATGTAAGATTGAGAGATTGAGAGACAAGAGTTGAGTGGTTCCACTTGTAGTTCTCCCAAATATATAGTGAATTTCTTATATTGTTGCCCCGTGGACGTTGGTCGAAGTTAATCGACCGAACCACGTAAATCTCGGTGTTTTTTTTTCTTTATTGTGGTCGTTTTATATCTTGTTGATTGTGAGTTGGCTTCGAAGTTGTGCATATTGTAGTAGGCGGGGAGAGTGAAATTCCCCAACAAGTGGTATCAGAGCGATGGCGATAGATCCGGGAGCAAATTCGTAAGATAGAAGACGATATCGTGCAAGATTGAATATCGACGTTACAAGAATTAAGATGAAAAGAAAAAGATAAAGGGAAAATCACTGTAGCAATGGTATATTGTAGCACCTGAGAACTGTAGTTGGATGTTGTAGCATTAACGCTGTAGCGGCGTGGTGGGTACTGTTCACACAGATCTAACAGTTGAGATTAATTTGTCTTTTGATCGAGGATTTGCAGGCGTATTTTTGTGATCTAGGAGTCGTTCCTAGGGTTTTTTAACGTGCTGAGTTTGTTTTTGACATTGGTTTTTATCAAATTCAATCTCTACAATGACTGATTTAAATTTTGGTTGTAGTTAGAGAATGATGACTTTTTCGGGTCCGAAGTTTGATACTCTGCTATTCAACGGTAAGACAAATCTGATGACAGATAGGGCAAACGAGTATACGACAGATGAGACTGGCGTAGAGAATCTGATATGATTCAAGCAGTAGAGTTGTCAGCATATAATTATTCAAAGCCATCGCGGGAATAGTAGTTGGTTGGTGTGTAGACTCGAGGAGGACAATGTCAGATTAGGTGGAGCTTGCAAGCTAGCACGACCGAGTGACACACAAGGTAATGGAGATGATGCCATTGGACTTGAAGACGATGAGTGCTCATATTCGGTCCAAGTTAAGTGATGGAGAAGATAGAGGCATCCGGCTCGTAGTGTGGAGTAGGAGAGGTGCACCAATATGATTCGAGATGAGTGATGCAGGTGGAGCACAATGACAACAAGTATGGGGAGGCTATTGCCAGGCTCAAGTTGAAAGGACAAGTATGATTGATTTGATTTTATTGTCAGAGATGGCGAGATCTCTTGGTGCACACAAGAGAGGTGGAGACGCCACAGTGAAGCAGATGATAGTGAGGGTCATGAAACAACTAGTTAGAGTGCATGTGTTCAGATTAAGAGTGTGGCTGCTTCGATTTGGAGTGCGAAAGAAATAGAAGACTCTAGCGAGAGAGGCAAACGACGATGATATATCTTCAAGGGAGTTTGGGAATCAAATCCAAGATGGAGATTGTTGGAATTTTATCTTTGATTCTTTGTAAAACTTTATGAGAATTAGATAGGGTTAGAGATCTATCATAATTAGATGTTTAGATTCTATCATGATTAGGAGTTTGGGTTCCATCATGATTAGGAGTTTGAATTCTATTCTAATTAGGAAGTTAGGCTAGAGATAGGGTTTTAGTTTCCTTATATATATTCTTCTATTGTTGGAGAAAAAATGAAGAAGAAGAGAGTAGAGAGAAGATGTAGTAGAGAGAGAGAGAGAGAGAGAGAGAGAGAGAGAGAGAGAGAGAGAATATTCTTGTAATCTAGAGTTAGCAGAGAACGTGGTCTGATTCAAGAATATTGTGCGAGAGACGAGGGTTTTGTGATCTTTATCCGTGCAAAAGATTACAAGGAGTGGGCTTTGAAGAGAATATAAGAGTTGATTATGTATGTAAGGTTGAGAGATTGAGAGACAAGAGTTGAGTGGTTCCTATTATAGTTCTCCCTAATACATAGTGAATTTCTCATATTGTTACCCCGTGGACGTAGGTCGAAGTTGGTCGACCGAACCATGTAAATCCTGGTGTTCTTTTTTTCTTGATTGTGGTCGTTTTATATCTTGTTGATTGTGGGTTGGCGTCGGAGTTGCGCATATTATAGTAGGTGGGGAAAGTGAAATTCCCCAACATCATCATGATCACACTCTCTTGTGAATGGTAGCATCAAAAGTAGTAGAGAAAGTGTAATACACTTATCATTACTCTGTAAGTATGTGACAACATCACAAGCAAAAATACAGAATCGTAAGCGGTAAAGATGGAAATGACATTCTCTCTAACTTCTTCAACTAAATCAGCTTTCAGATTAAGGGCGCAAAATCACACGCCACTACCAATATACAAATCCAACACACTAAACATTTCATGGGTATCAAATCATACCCACTATCGACTTAAAAAAGATAAAGGTAAGAAAAAAAAAATCTAAGCTCTAAGAAACAGAGCACTCTGTTTTCCTCTATTTTCAACTGATCATTGATGTAAGTGACCTGAAAACCACTTCCTCACAGGGAAGTGTGATTCCCATCTCATGATGGAATCCAAACTCCTCCTCAGCCCTCCTCAGCAAGATTTGGAACTCTGGATGTTGGAGAAAAGATATCGGCACGATGTACCGGCTCCGGTTCTCCCCGACGTACACCGGAAAGTGCCCTTTTGGAACGTCGACGGGGAACTCACTTCCTGCTCTCCCCAAGCTTGAACACCTCCTCAGTATCTGCTTCAGTGTTGTGGCCTGAGAGAGCTTGTTATTGGATTTCTTGATGCCCATTATACAGAAAGTAGTGAAGAAAGAGAGTTTTCTTTTTTTTTTCAGTTTTAGTAAGAGATGAGGGTGTTTGGAGGGCTTGAGAGGGTATTTATGGAGGGAAAGTGAGAGGAGCAGAGGCATGTGATCGGGTGAAGATAGGGAAGGACAGGCCACGGGTGCAACTGGTACAAAAGGACAGTAATTGGGCTCTGACCTCTCAATTGAAGGTCTGCTGCCCTCGTTTAGGACACACGTGGCCCCCTCTCAGCTCATCTGTTGTCTCTAAATCCTAATCGAACTGTTTTGAACTTGCGCTTTGGTTTCACTGTCGCAGATAGACCCCAGTGGTTAATTTCTTTTTAACTTATTCACCCTCAGTAAAACCTTGGTGTATGTCGCCACAGGGTGAAGTTAGCGAGCCTACCTACGTGCAAAAGCGTCAAAAAAATTTTTTTTTTAAGCCAAAATGAAACGATGCCATGCATAGGTGGTGGTTTTACAACTAATTAATCCCTATTATAACGCAATTCCTAGCATATGTAAGCCCAAATAATGGTGTGGCTGCAACAAATTGTAAAATTTTAAAACTAAACAAACAAAGCACGAGTACAATATAATTGTATGCGGCAGTAACTACGCCGACTATCGTTTTACCCCCAACCCCAAGGAAGAGTGGCATGCTAAATTAACACGGTTATAAGTCGCATGTGATGCTGCATGTACACTTCATGCAAGCGCAGAGGGGAGGCAGCATGGGCTTTTACATACAGGTGCCAAACGATACGTGCTTAGCTAGAACGCACGCTTTCCCAGTTGCTCTCTGAAAGTGACGGTTCAGATGCCAAATTCAGGCCACCTGTTTGGAAAAAATATATATATTAATTCCGCGTACCATTTAAATTGTGTTGTAGGTTTTGAGAGTACGTAATTAAGCAGTATTAATTATATGTTTTCTGTTTGGTAAATAATAGCGCGCGCCGAGCAAGCAATTGTTTGGTGACGTAGCAAGAGAAGAGGACCCTCTCCCGTTTAAGTTTTGGCTATAACCAGCTAGAACCCCTTCAGATAGAATGCACGGTTACATATGTTGGGCTCTGATACCACTTGTTGTGCACGACGGAAACCAAAACCAAACCGATGTGCTTCGAGAGATCAAATCAAACAAACGCCGATAGAAGGCCAAACAATGTAAAAATAACGGCACAAACTCAAACACAAAATTTAACGTGGTTCGGCAAATTGCCTACGTCCACGGGGCAAGAAGGGGATGGGGTTTTCACTAATAGAGAAGAAGAGTACAAACTGAGATTACAAATCGCTCAAAACAATCAACTAATCTCACCAACAAATCTCTTAATCTCTCCAAATAAAACTCTAAACAATAGCTCAGAATATACCTCTTTTATGTGCTCCAAATATCCCCCCAACAATCAAAATAAAACTCTAAACAATAGCTCAGAATATACCTCTTTTATGTGCTCCAAATATCCCCCCAACAATCACCAATCAAAGCCAAAGAAACCCTAATTCGTATTTGGTATTTATACTAAACTCAAATCGCAAACAGAACAGGAAACCAATAACTGGGCCTGACCCGACTGGCGGTCGATTGCCATGAAGCTCGCGGTCGACCGCGACAAACGATAGAATCCATAAATAGATTACAGGGTCTCGCGGTCGATCGTCGCGCCACTCGCGGTCGACCGCAAAAAGTCCAGAGACTTACTCCCCTTCGTGCACGTTCGTGGTCAACCGCAGCGCCATTCGCGATCGACCGTGCAGCACCCAAAAGCGTTCCTGCATCTAAAACTTGTTATGATCCAAATCTTTTGTCGATTCTACAATTCTCCATCTCAGCGAAGTTTTGTCAAAACTGAGTCAGCACCAACCAAAATAAATGACTCACTTGTTGCGTCCAGTACAAAGTGAAACAAAATCACGACAACGGACTCCATCCACAAGAAGTCAAAACCCAAATGAGAATGCGAACAAACTCCAAAACATCGGTATCAACCCATCAAATCAGTTACATCAAAATTAACTGCCTACGTATCCTCTTGCCAAAGGATTCAAGCGTTTACGTAGTTCCCCAAAATGGCATCCAAAGGCCCTCAATCAAATAGAAGAATCTTCAATCCTTCACCAATATCAGCTGCATCCAAATCCAAATGATTCACTAACTGTGTCACCTCAGATGGAATCTCAAACAATACAGTATAATCTGGAGTATGTGGAGTAAACTCCACCCAATATGGAGTAGCATCACCCTCCACCTGCTGCGATATCCCAACAACCTGATCAACACTCTCTACCTGCTGAGAGTCAAAAGTGACATACCTGCTCAGAATAAAATCAGAGTCTCCCAACTAATAACCAAACGAGCCTCTGAATCTTAAATGTACAATCGGATCAAATCTCACATCCTCGATGTGACCAAATACTGGGCAACCAAACATCCGAAGCAACCCAAAATCAGAAGTAGCTCCACCAGATCCAAAATCACTAAGCGCAGCAGTCGACAACCTATGACTAAGATGACCCAAATATGTCGAAGCCCGAAAGCCAAATTCATGCTTGACATCAAACGCCAATCCTCCTCCAGAAAGAAACGACCAATCAAAAATATCATCTCATCTCGTCGCCTCAATGTTTCCTCTCCAATGAAGTATCTCAAACATCCGTGAGTTCGGCACAAATGCAGAAATAGGTCCCTCTTGTACCTCCCTCTAAAATCAGAATGAAGTGCATTCACCTTTCTGCCAATATACTTCTTTAAACTGCTGGAGACTACTAGGACTTTATTCAATCAGGATTTGATTGCAACCCAAATATGCCTAGAACAGCCACCAACAAAAGAAACCAAATATCAAACACCTCCCAATGATGTCTCCTTGGAAGGCACCCAAATGCCTAAATGAACACCACCTAAAAAGGCCCCTCGATCAATGGATAGAAGTGCTAAACTCCACCTCAGTCTTCTTGCTCATACCAATGTGCTCATAGGACTTCAATTTGAAGGTCAAAGCACTCCTCAATAATCCAATGCACCGTATCAACAATCAAATAACCCAGCCTCAAATCCTTCTTTCTCGACCATCTTTCTCAAAGCACCAACAAAACAAATACGGAACAAACGAAGAATAAATCCAAACTAATAAATATAGAATTTTTACCAAAAAAGATACCACCTTTATCTCCAAACGAAGTCCTAGCCAAACTTCCAAAGTGATCTAGTCCTCCAAATAGCCCAAGAACGAAGAATAGATCCAAACTAATAAAGATAGAATTTTTACCTCCAATTGAAACCCTAAAAAGAGCCTCCCAACGATCTTATCCGGCACGATGGAAACGAGATCCACAAATAGAAAAAATCCCACCTTTATCACCAAACAAAGTCCTAGACGAACTTCCAAAAATGATCTACTCCTCTAACCAAGACAAAACCCCAGATCTGGAACCTAGAGCTCTGATACCACTTGTTGGGCTCTGATACCACTTATTGTACGTGATGGAAGCTAAAACCAAACCGATGTGATTTGAGACATTAAATCAAACAAACGCCGATAGAAGGCCAAACAATGTAAAAATAACGGCACAAACTCAAACACAAAATTTAACGTGGTTCGGCAAATTGCCTACGTCCACGGGGCAAGAAGGGGATGAGGTTTTCACTAATAGAGAATAAGAGTACAAACTGAGATTACAAATCGCTCAAAACAATCAACTAATCTCACCAACAAATCTCTTAATCTCTCGAAATAAAACTCTAAACAATAGCTCAGAATATACCTCTTTTATGTGCTCCAAATATCCCCCCAACAATCACCAATCAAAGCCAAAGAAACCCTAATTCGTATTTGGTATTTATACTAAACTCAAATCGCAAACAGAACAGGAAACCAATAACTGGGCCTGACCCGACTGGCGGTCGATTGCCATGAAGCTCGCGGTCGACCGCGACAAACGATAGAATCCATAAATAGATTACAGGGTCTCGCGGTCGATCGTCGCGCCACTCGCGGTCGACCGCAAAAAGTCCAGAGACTTACTCCCCTTCGTGCACGTTCGTGGTCGACCGCAGCGCCACTCACGGTCGACCGTGCAGCACCCAAAAGCGTTCCTGCATCCAAAACCTGTTCTGATCCAAATCTTCCGCCAATTCTACAACATAAATACCCAAAGACCATATACCAAAATGATAGACAACCAGACAATCAATCTACAAGCAAATTTCTCATGTGTGAGAACTTACCAACGCTGTCGTGGTAACTACCTAGACGTAGTTTTTAATTTTCTCATGTTTTACCTTAAAATAACACGTTCTCCTCTCAATTTCAGTAGTGGGTGAAAGTGTTGGGGCTCTGATACCACTTAGTGTGCGTGGCGGAAGACAAACACAAACACCAAGAGAGAAAGTCAAAACAATCCAAAATAACGGCACCAACTCAAACACAGAGTTTAACGTGGTTCGGCAAATTGCCTACGTCCTCGAGCCAGGCAAGAAGGGGATGGGTTTTCACTATAGAGAAAGTGAGTTCAAAATAAAGATTACAAGATCACTCAAACTAACCTCTTAAAAAAATCCTCAAATCTCTCACAAAACCCTCAAACAATTTGCTCAAAAGAGAACTCTCTTTTCTATGCTCAAACTAACCTCTTTTCTATGCTTAAAACTCACTTCAAGCTACCCCAAAAGTGATCAGTATGATCCAATAAACCCTAAATAAATCGTATTTCTATTTATAAAAAACATGAAACCCAAACAGTGTAGGAAACCTAAGCAGGTCCAGACCCGACTCGCGGTCGACCGCCGAACCCATAGTGGTCTAACGGATCCAACGACCGAAACCGAAAAACAATACAGGGTTTTGCCGGTCAACCGCCGCGCCACATACGGTCGACCGTGAAAAGTCCAAAGACTTTCCATGTGCTGTGCACGTTCGCGGTCGACCGTAGCGCCACTCGCGGTCGACTGTGCAGCATCCACAATGTTCCCTGCTTCAAAAAATCCGAACCTCGTCGCTGTGTAGCCAATTCTACATTTCTCCACCTTGACGA